TTGGTAGCACGAGAATTGGCTTATTTGGTTGTTTCTGCTGAAATTTATGAAGTTATGGCTGAAGTGACTGCATTGGCTGATTCTGTTGATTTAAGTAAAAATTATTTTTAAAATATATTTTATTAAAAAAATAAAGAAAAAGTTATATGTAAAAATAGCTAAAATGGTCATCTACAATAACTTCAGCCAATATAGCCAGAAAAGTAACTTCAACCTTACTTTTTCTGCTTATTACACAATTCAGCGCGCGAAAGCAAAAATTACGTGTTTGGTGAAAAAGCTGGCAGATAAACCTGATAAGCCGAAAAATAGTGTTACCAAACGGCCTCTAAGTCTTTTGCTAATATTTATAAAAAAAAATAATAAAAGGATGACACCCCATCCCTGAGGGCCCCCCAACACCGACCGGACGGCACGATGGGAGGATGTAAATTGGACTATAATCACAATCTGACAGATAGAGAGTGGGGCTCTGTCCCCGGTACTTGCAGAAGCCCTATGCATTTTTCAGCATGGTAACCCCTCATCGCAGTTGCCGGGATTCGAACCCAAGACCTAACCCTTGTGACACTCCCTCGCTACCAGTTGAGCTACGCCCACCGATTTTTGGTAATATTTATGATTCTATATATCGGCAGAGCCGCGGAGAGGAGCCAAAAATTTGGCCGAAAAGTTCATACGGATGATAAAAAAAAATTAGGCATATACTCTGTACTCATATATCAAAATTTAGCAGGCCAAACACAAACTAAACCTAAGATTCACATAATAATCACATAATATCCGTGAGAAGTTGAATTAATTCCATTATTATGAATAGATAGATTTACGTGACACTTTTTTAGTATGAATATTTATATAAGGATTTGGAAAAGTGGAGAAATCTATTTGAGTCCTTCATCATTTTTAATAAGAAAAACTGTAAATTATTGTGTGTGATTCTTCACCTTATACAATACTTGGACGAATTTGCCATACTGCCATGAGTATAACGGTACTAAAAATTAAGTGTAAAAATTCAATGAAATCAACAATAGTCCATTACTGTGTTTGGTTAGCGGCAGCAAAGCACGTGAGAAGAAGAAACAGTGCAAATTTGAAAGGGAAAAAATCATCGGCCGAAAGAGGGAGTTGTTGGTTGCATGCAAGTACATAACATTTCTAATGTAAAGCCTATTACATATTTTAAAGTAATGGATTCCACATAAGTAATGCGCATTGCATTACGCTTTATTAAAAAAATGACATATCAAACATTGTATTTGAATCAACACAAAATGCTCATTACATTATACTCCGTATTATACAAAGTAAATGATTACCTCATATCAAACATGATTGAGGACATTTGAAGGGAAATAAAATTCAATTAATAAATTCCAAGTATCTCTTCACATGCGTAGAATGCGTTGAAAAAATGCGTACATATTCGGCAAATTATACCGTATGACCGGTATACCATGCTCATGGTATACCGGTTCACATATGGTGCCGTTTTTCCTCACAAATGGATGACAGAATACATATGGTGCTGCTTAATCATTGTTGAATACGGAATACGGAATTTAGTTAGTGCCTTAGTGGCACTCCCCCACCCTCAATTCTTTTATTTCCTTTTCCTTTTTTACTTTTAATTTTTATTTACTTTTTTACTTTGAATGATTCTTTTTTAATTAGGAGCACTAAATGTATTACATAGTAAAAAAAATTGATCAAATTTTCATCATTTCAAAATAAATTAATTACTTATTTTTGTCTTAGTCGTTATTCATATATAATTTTTCTTTTTTTCTTCATTCAATTGAAATTACAACCAATTTTTCTTTATACTTTTTTTTGTAATATATTTTTCATATTCATACACTTTTTCTTGTAATATAGTAGTATCTCTTATCTCTTTTATATGTTTTTAGTGTTTTTAAGACAATATATTTATTTATTTTGATTACATTTGATAAAATTTTACATTTGTGCATGTGTGAATTATGTTTCAAAACAATTTCTGGAATTACATTTTATAGTATATGAAGTTACATCTTCTTGTGCGCGAGTTACATCTTTCTATGCACGAGTTACATCTAAATATGCGCGAGTTACATCTAATATTTTGTCAATTTTTACTTACCTTTATCTTTAACTAATTAAATTACAACTGAATTAACTTCTTTTTTTACCAATTTATTACAAAATTTTATTAACATACATAAAATAAGTATATTGTATTTCACATTCTTATACTTTTTTTGGGAAAAGGTACAAATATATCCCTGTAGTATGGGTGTGGGAACAGATATACTCTTGTTCTATTTTTTGGAACAAATATACCCCTGAACTTTTAAAAAGGTGCAAAAATATCTATCATGTTCTTATGAAGGGGCAACTTAATCCTTATTCACTTTAAATTAATAAAATAAATTTCAAAAAACACCAAATATAAATTAAAAATTCGAAATTAAAAAACAAAAATTTTTAAGAATGTAATAGTATCTAGGTCAATTCTCCCTTTTATAATTGTTATATCACAATTTAATATTGTTTAAGTATGAAATATTATTTCAACATTTTACTATATACGAAGTATTTAATATTCTTTCAAAAATGTGCTAACATATGTTTTGCAATGTAAAGAAAAATTAAATTTTTTGCATTCTTTGCACTATAAAATACATATTTTGAAATAATATTTTATATTAAAAATATTAAATTGTGATATAAAAACAATAAAGGGAGAATTGGACAAGATTATATTTCTAATTTTTTTTGTTTTTAATTTCGATTTTTTAATTTATTTTTTGTCTTTTTTGAAATTTATTTTATCAATTTAAAGTACATAAGGACTAATTTGTTTCTTTCTAAAAACTTGAGGGATATTTTTGCACTTTTTAAAAAGTTCAGGGGTATATTTGTTCCGAAAAATATAACAAGGGTATATTTGTTCCTCCACCTATACTACAGGGATATATATATACTTTTTCCCTACTTTTTTTTTTACTTTTCCTTCATCTTATGAACGATTTACATGTTCATGTGCATGAGTTACATCTTCTTATAAGCGAGTTACCATCAACTAAAGCGCGAGTTACATTTGGATTTATCTCAACAAGTTACATTCTATATACACCTAAGCTACATTTGCCATTAGTTAAATAAAAAAATCAACCTCTGCTATTAAAAACAAAATATATTTATTATTTACTTGAATTAATTGGGCAATTAGACTCTTTATTGATCATTTTCACTTTGAGATCAATGTTTTATTCCTTAATATCCGTATTAGATAAGTTACATTTTGACATGTTTGCAGTTACATTTTTTATCAGCTTGAGTTACATTTCATTACACACGAGTTACATCATTATGTTCCTGGATAATGAAAAACAAAAAAAGGTTACTGTTCACGTGCGTGAACGGTAACACACGATTTTTTCAACATGTTTCAAACGACGTCGTTTTGGGCGCAGGAGTATGATGCTCATGGTGGACCGGTTGCACGGTATACGAACCGCCGGTCGCAATTTATACCGTGCAACCGGCGCACCATGAGGATGGTGCGCCTCATGGTGCGCCCGGTTGCAAAACGACGCACGCTTCATTCAAAACGACGGAGTGCCTGGTTTCTTTTTTTCTTTTTTTTGCTTTTGTTGTTAAAAAATGATAATAACTTTTTTATTTTTGCTCCGATTTTTATAAAATTTATATCAATATTTTTTATTTTTCATGATCTTTCAAATGAGACCAATATTGCTTATGAAATTTTAAGAAATTATCGAACTATTATATTAATGAGTATTGGATTATAAAGAAAATCGAACTAAATTTAATATAGAAAAATAATTGTGTAAATCACAATTTATCTTAAAATTGTGTATATAAAAAATTTATTGTATTATGTATTTATACATGTGAGTTACATATTTTTATACGTGAAGTTACATATTTTTACACGTAAAGTTACATATTTCTACATGCAAGTTACATATATATACACATGAGTTGCATATGAATTGCAGGGAGATGATAAGTTTGTGAAATAGAAGATCGAATCTGTTTGGGAGTGGATCAGTGGCCTCAGTTACATTTGATAATTGAGTTACATCTTTTTATGAGCGAGTTACATCTCTTTATAAGAAAGTTACATATATATACACACGAGTTGCATTTGACCTGCCTGAATGCGAGTTACTTATATTTACACGTAAAGTTACATATTTATACACGTAGAGTTACATATTTTTACACACGAGTTGCATTTGGCCTGACTGAACATGAGTTACATATTTTAACACGTAAAGTTACATATTTGTACACGCAAATGTTAATATGTTAAAATTACATAGGCAATATTGGTCTCATTTGAAAGATCATGAAAAATAAAAAATGTTATAAATTTTATAAAAATCGGATCAAAAATAAAAAAGTTATTACCATTTTAAAAAAAGAGAGAAATAAAAAATAATGAGGCCAACTGCTAGAACTACGTCGTATTGGTGGCGGGTGTAGTATGCTCATAGTGGGTTGGTCGTATGGTATACGAACCGTACATATTCAGTCAAAAAATGCTTAGCTTATATATTCATTCCTCTTCATGATAACTCTACATTTATTAAAGTTGTTTTCCATCTTTTGATCTGACACTTCCAAAATTATTTTTTTGTTCGAAGAAGGCTTAGAGCCCGTTTGGTAGCACGAAAATCGGCTGTTTTGGCTGATTCTGCTGAAATTTATGAAGTTCTGGCTGAAGTGGCTGTTTTGGCTGTTTCTGCTGTTTTAAGTAAAAATTATTTTTGAAATATATTTTATTAATAAAATAAATAAAAAATTATATGTAAAAATAGTTAAAATGGTCATCTACAGTAACTTCAGCCAATACAGTCAGAAAAGTAACTCCAACCTTACTTTTTCTGCTTATTACACAATTCAGTGCGCGAAAGTAAAAGTTACGTGTTTGGTGAAAAAGTTGGCTGATAAGCCTGATAAGCCGAAAAATGATGTTACCAAACGGCCTCTTAATTCATAGAAATAGCATTCATCAAAGGTACATAACTAGAAAAAAACCACAAATAACCATCCGCCCGTGGCCGAGACTGAGAGCTAACCACCTGTAAAAAAAGCAGTATAACTCGCTAGACCAAATTTGGGCAATTTAGAGCTAATGACGGTTACCGCAAATTCTTCCTCCCCCCACCTTAATGCAAGAGTCTTAAAATGAAGGAAAGCACAAACACTAAAGAAAACAATGTGTCCAAAATAAATAAAACCAAAACAGATAAATAAAAAAACACCAGAACAAGTTTTCTTCTCCACTACCACCCAGAAAGTGCACGGCGGATCTAAGAGAGCTGACCCGCCCCTTCTCCGTTTTTTTATCCGTCCAAAGCCATCTCCGCACCATCCGCTCCCTCTTTGATCTGGTCTTCCCATAGACGTCTGCGTTTCAGATCCCCAGGTGGATCGTCCTTGTCCTCGCTCTCGTCCAATGGAGTCTTTGTAGCCTGCGCCTCAGCCGTATGTTCTCCCCCAAGATCAGACTTCCGCTGACTTCCATATCCATCTGAGCTAGAGGCTCCAACAGATAACCATTTATTAGGTCATGTAGGGCTGGTCTTCACCCTCCCGCCTGCTCTAATTTCCACCCCATAAATTTTTTCAACTACAAAACCTTCTTCATACTTCAAAGGACAAAACTTGTCAGAATGACCAATAATACCACAGATAAAGCAATAACTGGGTAGTTTTTCATATTTAAAATCAACCCAATGTTTTACTCCATTCTGCGTCAAATTGGTCCCCCTTTTCAGAGGTAGACGAACATCCAATCTTACTCTTATTCTTAGATATGAACTCTGCTTTCCATCAAAGTGACTCATCTCAAACTTAATAAAAGAGCCTATAAGATTGCCAATTTTCCTAGCAGACCTCAGATTCCTATATTTAAAAGGGGCATTATGTACTTGTACCCAAAAACTGGCTTCAAACAGATTCAAAGATTTGGGTATATCATCAGGCTGGACAGCTTTTAACAAAATCAAATCTCGCTCAAATAGCCAAGGGCCTTCCTCAACCACCCGGTTCATGTCCAAAACATGATTAAAAAGTAACAAATACCTGCGTTTGCCGATCTCCTTGATAGTCATACCTTTCACTGGCTTCCAGATCGAGGTCATCAACTCTTGAAAACCTGATAGCTTGATTTTACGATCGGAAATAACCACCCCTACCGCTGGGAATCGCTTCGGTTCATGCTCCTCCTCGGCATCCATCTATGTTTCTTCATCGAAATTCAGTTCACTCTCATGGTCCTTCATTGATAATTTTCCGTACGAAGCAACAAAATCCTCCATGTCACAACCTTCACTCACCCTCGCCGGCCTACGTTTACACCGAATCGGCTCTTCAACCTCACCGTCCCTCGTCCATAGCTCCTATCGTCTTCCTCGGTCTCAGCCGAACCAGATTGCTCTCACTCAGCCTATCTTCTTCAACTGCTCCTCTCGATCCTCAGCCAATCGGCCGATATCGGAAATCAAACCTAGCGGCGGCCAACCCTAGGAAGACCGAAGATTTAGAGAGCAGAGCTCTCGCTCCGGGTTTCTTTCATTTTTTAAGTCTTTGATTAATCATTTTCAATCATTTTGAATGCGTTTGGGTATTGACCGACACTTCCAAAATTATTATTAAGCCAAATTAAACAGTTCACCAGAAATAAACATGTTTTTTGAAGAATAACTAGTACAATCTTAGGTATATCTTTTCTTTATCATCGGAATGTGACAAATTCCAATATTTGGTATTTAGAATCATATCCTACTCACTTTACGATTAGGGCATATATGCTCAACGTGACGCATTGTAAAGGCATTATTACTAATGCCGGCTAGGGCTGCACATTGGGCAGGGTGGGTCGGGTTTGCTAAATTTTTTGGGTCTACCCAATTTGTTCGGGTTAGCTATTAACCAACCCGCGGTACGCAAAATAAGTTGGTAAACCATACATGAACGGGTCGGGTAGGGTCGGGTATTGAAAAAAAATCACTTCGGGTTGCATATTTCATGTGAAAAATCAATCTAACCAATTTAAAGCTCGATTAACTTGTTTCCAAAACATACAAACAAATACAAGTACTCGTATCTTTTATAAACAAAAACATTAGGTAATAGTATTAAGGGGGTGTTTGGAACTGATTCTGCTTCTGCTTCTTTTTTAAAAGCAGAAGCAGAATCAGAATCAGTTTTCAGAAGCTGGTACCCCCCAGCTTCTAAAAAAACTGATTCTGAGAGTAAATTAGAGCTCCAGAAGTGCTTCTGGAATTTCACCCAAACACTCCAGCTTCTGCTTCTGCTCCCTTAAGGAGCAGAATCAGTTTTGAGAATCAGATCCAAACACCCCCTAAAACATCCTTCTGTAAAGGAAGTTCATTTAGAAGGAGACGTAAATATATAATAATCACTTAGTCAGAATGGAAAATGTTTATTTATAATTCTAATATCATAAAGTCCTAGATAGAGCACATTGGTCTTAAATTGAAATTATCCAAGAAAACATTGTAACATAATAATAGTAAAATGAACTTCGGTCGGGTCGGCTACTATCGGATTTGAGATTTTAATTCTGCAACTCTACCCATTAGGTGCGAGTTGAAACATATTTAACACATGAATATTTTTTAAAATAAAATGCCCGATTAAATAGGGCTGGATAGATTTCGGTCGGGCGGGTTATGCGGGTTCGAGTTATTATTGTGCAGCGCTCATGCTGGCCCATCATCGGTCCCATCATCTGTTTACTACTTTACTCACTAGAGTAGATAATTGCACACGTTTTTAGTAGTACTAGACTACTAGTACACAATACGGAGCAATAAATATAGATTATATTTCTACAAAAAATGACAACTAATTGAATTGTTAAAGGGGGCGAGTGTTCTTCGGAATGCGGGTGTAAAGGGCACGTCGGCGGTGAATCGGATTGAAAGTGGAAGTGATATTCCCCAAAAACTTTATCACTTTCCCTAAAAACTTTACCACTTTGTCAGAATGTCCCAAAAAACTTTACCATTTTCCCTTTTTAATCAATTGTTTTGTGATTCCTGTTATTTCTCTCTCCTCTGCATAAATCTCGATCACATAATATTTACTTTATAATTCTACGTGTTAATCAAACTTGACAAAATTTTATTACTAGTAGAAAATTAGGATTTCTTTTTGAGACACCAATCAGTCTAGTAATGATTTCCAATGAACTTCCGTCCGCTAGAATACAATACTCCGTAGTAATTAGGCAATATATGGACTCCTTCAAACAGACTATTTAGAATTACAAAAATTAAAAATTTAAAACAAAAAAAATAAAGAATAAAAAAATTAAGAAGTTCAAAAGTTAAAAAAACATTTAAAATAAAATTAAATAATTTCAGTTTCACATGAGCTATACGTAGTATAGCATGTTTTTTTTTGGCGGTGATCCAGAAGCACCGACATAAATACCGTTACAGATCTCTTGCGTCTGATTTTCACATGCGTAGCATAGTACAATTACTCAATGAAAAGGATAACTCAATCGAGAAGCTCTGCAACAACAAAAAACTGAAGCATGTGTTAGTGGTGTTACGCAATCAGGCCATGAATAAAAAGACATAAAAAAATACACCATGCAATTTGTTGAAATACAACATTTAACCCCCTTTTACCTGTTGATATCATTAAGACAATTAATTTTCCAAGTGAAATTACCAGTAGAAATGTTTTAATTGCTTTATTTCAATAGGTTAAATGACGTATTTAGGATGTTTTCTTTTGGACTGAAATTTGTTGGTCTGGTTTGATCTGGTCTGATCTGATCTGGTCTGGTCTGATCTGATCTGGTCTGGTCTGGTTTGTTCTGGTCTGGTCTGATCTGGTCTGGGACTGAAAACAGTTCAAAAGAAAACATCCTTATATAATCTTCTGGTTCAGGATTTATTTAAAAAAATCATCAATAGGTCAATGACTTATTTGCCTCCCTTTCCCTTTATAAATAAACAAGTCTTTGAAATCCATCCTTCTCCTCACCTCCCGTCAGATTCCCAAATAACGTCCTCCTAGACTATAAACCTTACCAGCCATGTCGCTTGAAGCAAAAATCCAAAAATGCTTGGGGTACACAACTTGTACACAAAGTGTACAAGCTATAAAAGCCCAAAAAAACTTCCCATATTTTAAAACTCATCTCTCTCTATTTTTACCCTCCTCATCTCGGATCCGGAGCCTCTACCTTACTTTAAAGTAAGGTAGGGTGTCTTGCTTCTTCCGGATCGTCCGATCAACAATTCAACGGTCGGAGATCTTGGGCTCCACTTTTTCGCTAATCTCGAGGCCTACTTTGCTACTGTCCGACCGTCCGATGCGCAAGGCACCGTCCTAGTCGGGCAGAGGATCCCAATCCCCTCATCTCATCTGCCACTTTCTCTCCTTCCCTATCTCTTCTGCGCCCGGCCCCTTCCTCTCTTTTTAACTTTCTTTTCTTCTTTTTCTCTAATTTCTCCACCATTTTCACTCAGCTCCATCCATCTTCCAATTTAATTAGTTTAGCTCACCAACTTGTTCGAACACTCCTCTCCTGGAAGCCTCCAGCCTACTCGTCCTGCACTCCATGCCCACTCCTCACTTTTTATTACTCTCATTTTAAAGCTCAAATTTGTGAAAGGAAGCTCAAGGTTTTACCTTTTTATGATGGATGAATCTTCCCAAAGTCATTATTATTGAGGTAATCTATTTCGATTTTTCCAAATGCATTTTAGGGTTCTTTTTTATTTTTTTTGTTTCCTGAATTTATGTATGTTATTATGTATGTTGAAACATTGAATAATTGCACTTTTGTTTTATTGCAAAAGATTGTGGTGTTAGCTATATTGAATTTTAATCTCAATAATCTATTTCATTATATGCCCATAACATGTTTGTTGGAATGACTCTATGTAATTTTTGTTCATATCCAAGACATTTCTCCCTTTTTTGTTAACCAATTTTAGTTTCTTTTTTTACCAGTTTCACAAATCTTATTAGTAGCATCCTACTATGGTCTCAGTCAAACTTAAAGTAGAGAAAAAAAAATTTGCAAGGTTGAATCACTTAGTTCCGAGAAAACTAGTAGTTACACCAAAATATACTTGCAAAGATTAGTTGGTTGTATCTACATTCAAATTATGCCATTCACTATGAATTTAAATTAAAGTATACATATTATATTGTCTATTTATTTATTGACTGCAGTAAATAAATATTCATGTGTAAATAAAGTATACATAAAGTATACATATCATATTAGTTGGTTGCAAATATTAGTTGGTTGCATCTACGTTTATGTGTGTTATTTTAATTGATCATATTCATGAACATGTTACAAATCACAAGATTCACTATCTCACCGATAGAAGCATTAGGAAAAGGTTTCTTTCTTTTTTGTATGGTGTAATATCGTTCGTATCAGTTTTGTAATATTATAATAATCATTCTTTGAATACTTTGTTATTAATTATTATCTCTATGTAGCTATTGCTATATCTCATATGAGTTTTGCAGCCATGGGATCAAGAAGTTTGACAGACTTATGGGTCGTCTTTGAAATTGACAAGACATGGCAAAGGGAACATGATAGTCTTTTGAAGATGATGGTCTTATGAAGAATGCCAATTAATTTAGTCATAGGTGGTGCTCATCAAATCATATAGAATTGGATGATCTCAAATTAGTTTCTCTTAGATTAGTCGACATTGGAATGTGTTGATATTTGGGTTGTAAATGATAACGCTTGTTTTAGATTAGTTCGCATTGAGATTTGAGGTGTTGGAGGGTATATGACATTTGGGTTGTAAATAATAATGCTTGTTCTCGGTATTGGAACACTTTGTTTGTAAATATGCTTGTTTTTCACTTCAGAATCAACTAGTACAGTACCCGTGCATACGCACGGGTAAAGAGGCGTTGTGCATATATTTTGTATTCAGTTTAATTAAATACAAAAACAAAACAAAAAATTAAAAACAATATTTTAAATTTTAACATTTTCCCAAAAAAGTTATTATAGTAAGTGAGTATCGGAAAATATAAGTGCAATATTAAATACTAAAAGTAAAAGAATATTAGGAGAAATTAATTGACAATATCAATTGTAATTTGCTACTTACAGAGTATTAATTTGTAGCGTTGGTAACATATAATAAAATCTTAAATTTATTTGTTAGACATTTTGAAAAAATTCTTCAAATACAATATTCTTAATAGTGTATAATGAGGTTTCCTTCTCATCATGGATGAAGATCATGAGTCTATGTTTGTTCTCAACTCTCAATAATGTCACATATAGTTATCAATGACTAAAAATAGGTCTATGTATGTATAGATCATCTCTTTCAAGCGATTGGTCTTGATATATGTTGATTATCATATCTAATTATAGGAATTTGTCTTGTGATAAATTTAAAAGGTCATACAGATTATGAAGGGGCATGCATGTTATTAAAGAAGTAGAAATCAAGGATTTCAATTATGTGTTTTGCAATATTTAATCCTTGTTAGAACTCCAAAAGTTGAATAGAATAAATAATTAAAAGTTTAAAATTCACATAGTGCACGGTCTTTGCACTCTATTACAACTCAAACTTTTTTTTGGAAAAAGTTTTTTTTGTTG